GCACAGATCAGTTCCTATCAAAGAACTGGTTGGACAGATCAGTTCCTATCAAAGAACTGGTTGAACAGATCAGTTCCTGTCAAAGAACTGGTTGGACGGACCAGTTCCTATCAAAGAACTGGTAGGCACAGATCAGTTCTTTTAAAAGAACTGGCTGGACAGATCAGTTCCTATCAAAGAACTGTTTGAACAGTTCTCAAAAACGGAACTGATATGGAACTGTCCAGGGTCTAATTGTAATTAAAATAGTTTCAAAGAAAACTCATTGTTTGAACATCTCATAGTTTTCAACATGATACTAGATATGTGTCTTGGCAGCAATGCACCTCTATTTATCGTATTTGTCTTGAAGATTATCATACGAAAATGAATTCCTAATGTATCCTTGGTACAGAAATACAATGTCATTCAAAAAATAAAAAATACACCGTATTTAAAGATTTCTTAAAGAAATCTGGATTTTCGAAAACAAGCCGGGACTCAAAGAGTTAAAAGATACCTGAGGTTATATCATGATTGCAAAATCTCACCATTGAAAGTTTTGAAATTCTTGAATCAAGAAACAAGACAAAGTTTAGAAAAAGTCTGTCAGTCGTCCGTGAAAATGTTTTCAGATTTTGAAATATTTTATAGAAATAAAATGTTCTATTGCTTGTCACTTTAAATCTTTTAAGCGAACATATTGTATTTACACAAAGGTATTATTATTTTATGATGCGCCAAATCATAGGATTTTATGCACATCTGATATTTAAATTTAGAAAATAATTTTATTTCTAAACTTATTAAAAACTATTGAAATTATTCCATTAGGTGTCAATCTGATAAATAGTTAAATATTGATTATTTCATGGCTTGTATTGATGAAGAAAAGAAGACATTTTTCTCGCTTTATTTTTTTTTTAGTTATTTTTTATAGTGTATGTTTAATATTGCTTTCATAATTTAATTTTTTTTTTCTTTTTTATGCTGAAAGTTGACTCTTTTCGTTCTTTATTGGATTATATGCATAAAGAACTTGTTCGTTTTTTTCTTCTCTCAAATTTCTACTTTTTTGCGTACGATTGTCAAAATGAGTCGACTCAAATTTTAGATTTCATTATAGATTTTTTTGTGGTGTCATATCGATGAGTGCGTCAATCGATGTGAGAATGTAATTCTATTATTGTGTCTTCTATTTTTTTTTTGTTTTTAATCACTGTCGATAAACATTTTTTTGCTTGTATTATTCCATAAAGAAACTGCTTCATTTCTTTTGAAGATTTGTTTGACTACCGCAGCAACCATTGTTGTTATTGGACAAAAGAAAAAATAGAAAAGAGATTTTTTCCTATTCGAATAGTTTTTTTTGCAGGGTGAAACCAATCATACAAAAGAAACTCGTAAAGGTAAATTATTTGAATAATAATGAATTTTATTGCGACACGACTAGAGTTTCTTTTTTCGATATTAAATGTGCAAGAAACAAAGACTTTCTTGAATCACTCAAAAAACTGCAAAGGGAAAAGTCTTTTGCATTTTTTTATGAGTTAGAATTTATAATTATTTAGGAAAAATAATTGTGTGTTGTAAAATTTATTTCTCATAGGTTATTATTTGCAAATGGCTAGTAGTTTAGATGAACGAAATGATCCATTTGCTGATCTTGAATATCGTGTAACAAATCCAAAATTAACTCAAGATGTAGTTAATCGAAATACAGGTATAAATATAATGAGTAGACAACCAACATCAAAAGCTGTACAACTAAAAGCAGAAAATTATGACTTATGGTTTCAAAATGAACGTCTAGCCGAAGAAAATAATGCATTAGGTACTGAATTGGGTAAATTACAAGATAAACATGATAAATTAATGTATTTGGCACGTAATCGTCTTGGTGAAATACGTTCAAAATATCAAAAACTTGAACAAGATAATCAAACATTAAAAACTGAATTAGATCGATTAGTACGTGAATATGAAACAACAAAAAGACTTATTGAAGATTATCGACGTATGGAAGAACGGTGAATAGAATTAAAAATTTTTCTGTTTTTTAAATGGCAAAGACTTCTTTTACTTTCATTAAATAGTTTTAAAGCAGCTGACCGTGAAATGCGCTTAATGATTGAAACATTAACACGTAATAATGAGGATCTAAAAGGACAAAATCAAACATTAATCAATGAACTTGAATTATTAAAAGAAAAGTATTATATTGCTAAACAAAATTTAGAAAAATCGATGCACGATGCAACATTACTTAAAGAAGAATTAACGAAAGCTGTTTATGCTCGTGATTCACTTGAAAAAGACAGTGCTCGGTTAAGTGCAAAAGTAAATGAATTAACTTCTGGTAAAAAATCAGCTGAAGAAAAATTAGAATTATTAACTGGTCGAGCAAATAATTTACAAGTTGATTTAAGACGGTATATAAATAAGCAAAAAAAAACCGATAGAAGCTTCAATAAATATCTATTGTTTTTAGCTCGGAAGCCAATGCTGCAATGTTACAAGAACGTTTTACTCTAATAAGAAATGAACGTGATGCATTAGATGCTGATAGTAAAAATAAATTAGCACTATTAATGCAAAAACTTAAAGAACTACAACTACAAAATAAATCTGCTATGGAACAATTACATACACAAAGTAAACAATGTGATCATTTGAATAGTGAAAATAAACAATTACTTGAATATGTTGTATGTAAAAAAAAGAGAAAAAAAAACTTAGAATGAATATTGATTGTTTGTTTCTAATTTAGAATGGTTATCGTAAAGAAAATGATCTTCTTGCTAAACAACTTGTTTCTGTTAATACAAAACAAAAACGTTTAGCTCTTGAACTTGAAAGTTTAAAATCAGCTGATGCTTTCATGAAAAATGAAGAAGCTATGAAAATGCAAGATGCTTTAGTCGGTTTAACTGATCAATTAACACAATTACGTAAAATGCATGCTAATACACTTTCTGAAAATCAACGTATTAAAGAATTATTAATTGAAAAAGATTCGGTTTTAACTAGTTTGGGTTATGAACGTCATCAGTTACAAGATAAAATGATTAAAAATGAACACACAATTCGACAAATGGAACGAATGTTAGATGGAAGTGCTGCAGTCAAACGCTCACCATTAGAAATGCGAAAAGCAACAACAACAAATAATGCATTTTCATTCGATAATGTGCTTGAATCTTGAAGATATTTGTACTTGTGTGTGTGAATGTAATTCTAGACTTTTCTTTTAATTTTTTTGTCTTGTATACAAAAGAAAACTGCAGTTTCATTAGAATGATGGTGTCGTCGTTTCATTGGACGTTGGTTTTTTGTTTTTTGCTGACAAAATATCAACAGAGAAAAAAAGCAATGATGGTCATGCAAGCAAATAGTGACAAGGCGCTTCACTGTGAGAGATATGATACAGATACATGTGTTAAATAAGATAAGCGATAGTATAAATAGCTTGTAAAAAATTCTAATTGAATCACAGTTTCACTTTTGTTTCATACAATTAAGGTAAGTAAAACGAAATAAACTTAAATGTTTGACTAGGAAGCTAATACTTTTTCTTTCGATATAGATGCAAACTATTTCAGTTCTTGCTATTCTCGCACTCGCTTTCAGCTGTACATTAGCTTACGATGCTACACTTAATCAACATTGGAAATTATGGAAAGAACTTCACCACAAACGTTATGTTGATGCTGAAGAACATGTTCGGTATGAAAAAAAGTTATTTGATATGTCTAAATCTAAATTATGATCAATTTTATGAATTTTTAGTCGTGCCATATGGGAAAGCAACTTAAAGAAAGTTCAAGAACACAACTTTCAAGCTGATCTTGGTGTACATACATATTGGCTCGGAATGAACAAATATGCTGATATGGTAAATTTCGTTTTTTTTCATACCGTACGACAAATATTTATACAACCTGTTTTTCATATTGAAAATAGACCATCGATGAATTTGCCAAACAAATGAATGGTTACAATGCTACAATGCGAGGACAACGCCAACAAGATCGTCATACATTCACATTCAACCCAAGTTTTCAATTACCAGATACCGTTGGTATGTACTATGATTGTTGGTCATTGTTTATTTTTATATAAAAAAATCTTATTTATTTTTCTCTAGACTGGCGAGATGAAGGATATGTTACTGAAGTTAAAGATCAAGGCCAATGCGGTTCATGCTGGGCTTTCTCAGCAACTGGTGCACTTGAAGGTCAACACTTCAAAGCAACTAGCAAACTTGTTTCACTCTCTGAACAAAACTTAGTTGATTGTTCAACTGCACAAGGTAACATGGGTTGCAATGGTGGTTTAATGGATCAAGCTTTCGAATACATCAAAGACAACAAGGGTATTGATACTGAAGACTCATATCCATATGAAGCCATTGATGATCAATGCCGATTCAAAACAGAAAATGTTGGTGCTACAGACACTGGCTTCACTGATATTACATCAAAAGATGAAAGTGCTCTTCAACAAGCCGTTGCCACTGTTGGACCAATCTCAGTTGCCATTGATGCTAGTCATACATCATTTCAATTATACAAACACGGTGGTATGTATTTTTTTAAGTTTTTAATTTCTTATTTTGATCCAAATCTATTTATTTAGTTTACAATGAACCATTCTGCTCACAAACCCGACTTGATCATGGTGTCTTAGCTATTGGTTATGGAACAGACTCTGGCAAAGCTTACTGGCTCGTTAAAAACAGGTAATTATTATACTAATGTCTTTTTTTATTAATTATCTGATCGATTATCTATTATTATTATTATAGCTGGGGTGAAGGTTGGGGTGATAAAGGTTATATCAAGATGACACGTAACAAACGCAATCAATGTGGTATTGCCACAGCTGCAAGTTACCCACTTGTTTAAAGGCAAAATTCAATTTTTTTTTCTATTCTTTTTTTTTTTTTCTTCATGCTATCTTTTATTGTATTCTAATAATAATTTTAATAACATCATAACAATAAAAAAAAGGAAACACTATACATATCTATATATATATATCTAATTATTCATTCATAGACGAATGTCAAAGCGAGACATAATATATATATACATTTTCTCTTCAATAAATAAGGTCCATTGAGATATATCTAATTGAAACTTGAATGAATTTTATCATTGACAGTGATCATAAACAAATAGAATGCATTTATTTATCTATTATTTGAATGAAACAATTGTCAATGGACGATAAGAAAAGAGAATTCTTCATTCATCAACAGTACTATATCCTCTCAATAGATTTCCTATTTATTATTTTTGAATCAAAAAAAAAAAATATCTAAGCGGCATATTCTATTTTATTGCTCTTCATCGCTTAGGCACTACTCGTAAATGCCAAACAGAAAAAAAGAAACCGGAAGTTCGGCCTCCCATGATCATCGAATAAGTAATAACAATTGCATTATTCATACATCTATATATTTATGAATGTGTCTGTAAAGCTCTACTCAGTAGAGAAGAAAGAACGAGTTACAGAAGATTTATCATGGAAGTCGAAATTGTCTTTGAATATTGAGCTAGATATTTCTTTTTTTAAATTTTCATTTTTACTATTTGTTCAATCATACCGAAATCAAATTAGTGAGTAGTCTATCGATATAAGGTTTAGAATAGCGAGAGAAAATTGATTCTTCCTGTATGCGAAATAGAAACGACAATAAATGCAATTACTAATATAGTACGGGCATACGACTAATCATCATTTTCTTTTTCGAACAGTACATCTCGGATATAATGACTGTCAACTGGACCTTTGATCATAATGATTATTCACCATTTGGTTCAGATGAGCATATTTTAATAGCAGAATATCGTTCACTTATAATTACAATATTTTTCTTTTTAATTGGCTTATTTGGAAATCTTATTATCTTAATTGGTAATGGATATATTCTTCGACACTCAATGGATGGTGAAAAACGTACATTTGAAAATTTTCTTGTTGAAATATCATGTTTCGATTTAATTGTACTTTTTTATCATTTAATTAATTCAATTATTCGTTATAAAGCATTACCAGAAAGTAATGCTCATACAATGACTGGTTTAATTAATATATCAACTGTTTGTTGCAAATTATTAACATATATTGTACGTATTTCAACACTTATGTCTCATTGGTTAATCATTTTATTATTACTTAATCGATTATTTCTGGTTTATCCAACATTTTATCGACTTATAGCAATTGTTAATGCAAAATACGCTGTGTAAGTATTGCAGTTTCAAAAAAGAAAATATTGAAATTCATCGAAATACACTAGAAAATCTATTAACAGATTTTGAAATTTTACTTTTTTTTTTGTTCTTTGAATTTAACACAAATAATTACATGTTTATAGTTTAGTTTAATGTAGAGTTCTATTGAGTGTAATGATTTGAATGCACTACTTAGTTTGTTATTTAGAATGCAAGACATTCAGCATTTTTGTCTAGATCATCGGATATTAGTTATTAGATAAAAATATTTATCTATACAGGAAAAAAACATGTTCCTTTTTGAATAATCAAAATATATAAATATCTAACAGAAAACGATCTTTTTGACTCAATATTGAATATGAAAATTAGAAATAATCTTAATCTTTTTCACAATTTACATCGTTGTCATATTGATATAAAGAATGATATGAAACTGATCGATATCCTTGTACGTAATTTGTCATAGCTAAATTATATCTATGATTGATTGACACAAACATCTGTTTATTTGAATAGTATTAGTTAGCTCAAACCTATTATTTTCTTAATCATGAATGACATTTTCGGAAAACATATTTTCCGATAATTTCTTATTTTCTAGTGTTTTTCGAACATCTTGTTATTCAAATAAAAAAATTTTAAGTGGATCATATCATGATATAGAAAGATTTAGATTAATTTCTATTTTTACATATTTCTCTAATCAAAAATTTAATTTTAAACTGTTTCTATGAAAAAAGAAATACAGTTGAGCTTTCTCTACAAAATAACTATTATCGTTTTATAAATGTAATGTGCTTCATTGCTTTGAGAATAAATCTAGAATGTCAATAAATAGACAGTACCCGATAAATGCGTTTTCCAATTTGGCTAAGAGTTATATTAATATGTCCCTATTCGTGACATTTAACCTCGGAAAATGATCTGAATTAAACATCAGATATGCAATAGATGGTGCTTCTGCATCAGTTGAACTCACTAAGATGAAATATTTTAGTTGTTCTATTTCAAAGAGTAGGATTCCCTGCTGTACAAAGGATTCGAACAAGTTTATTGTCAAGTGACAAATATCTATATTGTATAATGTATTGATTCTTGCATAGAATCACGTCCGTCAATTTGTGTTTTCCAATAGTGAAAAGCGCAAGTCTCTAGCTACTTCCTTGTTTTCTAGACTTATTTAATAAAACAATGCAGTAAATTATATTTCTAAATGGATAATATATATTGATCTTGTTTGTTTATGCATAGAAAAAAAATTTTTTTTTATGATAATCATCAAGCCACAAATCTGTTTAATCAATATTCTTTTATTTTACTATCTATTAGTTTCTTTTAGTCATACGAAATAGTAAGATAATTTGTTCATCATATATTACAGAATTGAAATTGAATTACAGATCGGAATGAATCATTTCCATTTTTATTTAAAGAACTCGATTTTACTTGTACCTAGACAAAACTTCTATTTCAATAGTAACTCATGATTTTCAGTTTCAGCTATAAATACTTGTAGAGAGTATTTTCTATCTGAATCCTGCTTATTTATTAGAAACAAGCCAAATTAACCGAGAAAATAGTTTTTGTTGTGATAAATAGAAATCATCAAATTATAAGTTTTCTTATATAATTTATTAAAACAAGAATCGAGAAGCTTGCATTTAGATTATATCGATTATTTCATTAAAATAATCTAAGATAAATATTTCTTTCTATTTAGTCTTGGTTTACTTTTTATTTTTACTCTTTTCAATGTTCTACCAATTGAATCCATGTCTTATAACATACCACTTGTTCTTCTATCAAATTCAACAACCAATATAACACTTTATCGTCACTGTTTAATGAATGCTGAAATGGTTGATTTAGAAGCATCAATACATTCAACTGCTGTTATTATGAATGTTTTTTTCTATACTGGTATTGGTCTTATTTTACCAACAATAATTATTTGTATTTTATCAATATTATTATTTCAAAAAGGGGCACATCTTTGGAATGAATTACATTCACATCATTCTGAAACTGAAAATATTTCTTTACGATCTAATTCACCAATTGTTGAATATCTTCGTACATATAATGCAGCATTTACACTTGGTATTATATTTGTATTTCTTTCAATACCATGTAAATTACTTCGTTTAATTGTTTTATTTGCATCAAATGATGTTAATGGATCAAAATTATCGAATCATATTCTTCTACAAGCTCATGCACAAATGCAAACAGTTGGTCATGCATTCGAACTTTCACTTTATTCATATAAATGCTTTATATTTATCTGTACAAATCATCGTTTTCGTTGTGCATTAAAATATTTATTAACTTATCATCGTAGTCATGTTATAATTAATGAACATCGACCTTCAACGGATAGTTGTTATGGGCAAAAAGTCATACATACAAGACCTTCACAAGACAGTGTACCATTTGAAGCATTATATAAACATTTACAAATAAATGAATTTGAGTCACCAATGAATACGTATACAACCGGTTTAACATCAGAACTATGTAGTCATCGATCAAGTTTTAAAACACGATCAAGTGTATCTAGTCGACGAACAAAAGAAGATGAAATATCACTTTGAAAGTCACTTTTTTTCCCTTGTATATTTGTATAGAAATCGTAGATTTGTATAAACATATATATATATACATGCATCATTTGCAATTTTATTGTACTATTTTAAGAAAACAAAAGTGCGAAAATAAATATCTGATTTGAAAGATAATGAGTATTGTGTTGTAGTGTATTATATAAGAAGAAAAACAAGAAGAAGTTTTTCAAAATATCATTTTCAAGATGGCTCAGATATACAAGCATTGTAAAAAATACAAGAAAAAGCTTAAAAAACACTTGTTCGCATATAAATTGAAAGATTCTCGAAATACAAAAGTATTGCGAAATGCACTAAATATACGTGAGTATTATATGAAGAAAAAACTTTGTTTGAATGGCATGATATATATTGGAGATTGAAACTTTGATAAATCTCGACTACATGAACCTAATAGTGTATTCATATGATGTCATTGCACCGAATAACTTTAAGTCGCAATTCAGAATTAATTGGTACTTATCTTGATAGCCCCTACAATAAGAAATAAATTAACTTATAAAATATTTTCTCTGCCATTAATTGTGACATACTACGCACGTTGTCATCTCGCGTGACATCTTAAAGCAAATTTTTCCTTTTCCTCATGCGCAGTAAGTTTTTTGATGATGATATTTTCATTGATAGTTGATTGCAATGAATGAATGAAATCATCAAACTTTCTTTTCAACTATATTACATCTTTCAAGAGTAGTATAAGTCAGACACAGTGAAAAATCTCATGTGACATTTAGAGTAAAAATTAAATATTCAACTTTTGTTGCATGACGTTTGTAAATAAAAGATACTACAATTTTCTGATTTTTTTAAAATTTTATCATTCATTTACAGACTTTTATTCAACATTATTTCGAACATCTTTAGATGAATTTTTTCATCTACGAGTTATTTTTAATCTCGCATGACAGATAATTGAACAATGACTGAAAATCTAATATTTAGAAAGAGTTATAAGATAAGTCGAATGCAAACATCAATCAGTTTTATAGTTAAAATCTATAAACTGTTTTTACTAATTTCACCAGCGCTCGCAGTTTAAATAAGAAAAAATGTCACTTATAAGGCATGTTCTACTAGTGAATATCAGTAAAAAATCAATATTTTAGACCTTACATGTTCAGCCTCTTCAAATTCATCCGAGATAAATTTGTGATTTTTCTGTGTGTGAGTGAGAACTTGTTAAACGAGCCTAAATGGAAAAAAATCATAAAGATTGATTGGGAAGCAGTCAAGATATTGAGCTTTTACATATAAGAGTATAAGGATACAATAAAGTTGCAAGTCATTTATCCATACATATATACAGTGTCCAAAAAGTCACTATACAAAGCGAAATTTGAATATTTTCCTTGGGATTCTATTTGATGAACTAATTTTTCTATTAGTAATAAAGAACACTTCCATATTTCTATCCACATATTCAAAATTCTCAGATATTTCTACACAGTTGGGCTCTCAGGTTCAATACAAAATAAAGAACTTTTTCGAAAGTCAAAAAATAGTATGCAAAGTTTTTCTTATGTTTCACCAATTTTTCAAAATTATTGTAGCTCTTTCAAGGAAGAACAAGTTGATTTCTTAAATTTCTTCGATTTCTCATAGCTTCTGATGGTTTTCGATAATTTTTAATCACCTCCAGTCATTATTTTTATTCTTACAGTGTTAAAATGATTTCTCATAATTTCTAGCATAGAAATCAGTTTGTTCATCCTGGCAATCTCCAACTATATAGGTCTTTTTCTTCTCCATGATGAACATTCATTTGACATTTCTACAAAAATTAAAATCAATGATCTTAAATTTGACAGATGCAAAATTTATAAAAGTGTTAGTTTACTCAGTGCATGTTCCGTCAAAGTTGTTTGCTAGGGGAAAAATCAATCGTTTTGAAGAAACTTACAAAATCATTCAAGTTGTTTCAGAATTATCAAATGAATGTTTAGAAAAAAATAGGAAGCACGATCTTGATAGTTGGCAACCCATAATAATCAAAAAAAAATTGAAGAAACATAAGAAAAACTCTGCATACTATTTTTCAACTTTCGAAAAAGTACTTTATTGTGTATTGAACTTGAAAGTACAATCGTGTAGAAATATCTAAGAACTTTGAATATGTAGATAGAAACTTGGAAGTGTTCTTTATTATCAATAGGAAAATCAGTTCATCCGATGGAATCCTAAGGGAAATATTCAAATTTCGCTTTGTATAGTGACTTTTTGGACATCATAAATAAATATCGTTTGTAACGACATTTTCAATGAAATTCTCATAATAGAGAAGAAGCGAAACTTTTTGCTATATGATAAATTTGACTATCGATTAAAGCTGAAGAGATCTGATAGGATTTTCCATAACATTCTATAATTATTGTTCTACATAGAAGTCAACATTTAATGGTACGCGAAAATTTCCTCGGCATGTTTTTTATTCAACCAATGAATAAACTATTTCAACGAATAAAATATTGATAATTATTATTTATTTTCTAATATATGATGAATTTGAGTTCTCCCCATAACAATGGATTTTATCTAAGATATATTTAGAACTTCTATGTGAAATATAACAACTATATGCTATGAGCTTCATTTTTTTTCTTTGGAATGAAAATGTCAAGAAAATGCATATACATTCTCATTTAGTCTTACAATTGAAAAAAACCGATGAACATTTTTTTTCTATTATTTTCAAACATAAGATTTGAATGTAGATACAATTAAAATTAAACCAAGTTCTATTTATTATGCGAGTGCATCTAGTTCTTGTTTTAGTGACATGCGATTATAGAAAAAAATAAACTTGTTACTTGATGTGGCATGCTTCACTGAAACACACTTGAAGAATGCTTTTCGCATGTAAATTTTTTTCAGATATGCATATTAATACTTTTGCATATTGTTCCGTTTTAATAAAGAAATACTCAAAATATTTTGAATAATTTGAAAACTTAAATGACTAAAACCGATTCTTTTCAGAATTTCTCTAAAATAGAAGAATTATGATAATTTTTACAACTGACTACTCCAAAAAAATTTTAGATTTCTATTTCTATTCACAAAAAAATTGGAGAAAAATTTTTAACACTTTATGCTATTATTATATAACTTTTTCGTCACTTTTCTCGTTTCTATATAACTCACATACTTTTCTCAGAGTTCATCTTTGATCATCACCATATAGTTTTTATTATATCCTGCAAGTGGCTGAAGCTTTTGTCTATTAACTTATAAGAACAAACAGTTCAAATTGTATTTGTTCTCTTTAACAAACAACAATTTTAGCGGATTCATGTGCGATTATCATACTCTGACCTTCTAATTATCCTTTTTATTGTCACTTCTATGTTTACAATTGATCAAATAAAAATTCTTATTTCTTTCATAATCAATTAATTATACTCAATTGAGGATTATAGTGATTAAATGAAATATTCAAAAGATTTATGTCTATGAGAAAAATTTTTTTAAAAATGCTTTTGTTTCTGTCCACTAGATGTCAAAGAAGCACAGTCAACATATATTTTTATGCTTATTTTCATTCATTACATTTAAAAAGAAAACAAAATTCTTTTCTACTTTTCATCATACTTTTTTTAATAAATTCTCTCTATTATGGGTATTGGTGTTGCCATTATATTTTTTTCTCAGCATTAATGTGTCCTTTTGAAGAGTATGAAAAAAAGCCTTCTGTTGTTTTGTATATGTTGGATACAACATTAGAGAACGTTTTCTTCAAAATGTACTAAGAAAACTTACATACTTCTTTAATTAACGAGAAATTAATCATTTCACTAACTAAAAACACCTACACCAAGATATATATAGACATTTACAAAAAAGAAATCCCTTTTTTGTCTCGAAACGAAGAAGAAAAAAAAAAAAGGTAAATGCATGAAAATTTTTAAATAAGGCGTGTTAGTTGTAATAGGCATACAAAACGGAAGGAGAAAAAGCATGAAAATGTTTTACTATTAGAAGCATACACTTTTTCGGTCTTCCTTTGGTATTATAAAAACGAAGACAAAAGCTCATGGTAAAAGAGAGAAAAAGATGTGCACGACATTGCATACGTTCGAAGTTTTGCAAACATTATAAGCGAAACTTTGTTCTTTCTCTCTGTCTTTTTCTCTGTCTCTCTTTCTCATACTTCATAATTCTATCTATAAAACATCGAAAATGTCATTGGTGAATAGTATTCAAAGAATAAACAAGAAGCAGATGGTTCACTATCAAGTTTACATACTCATTAATTAAAACAATATATTGTGCAATAATTATAAATGGCTAATAATACTACTAGAACGATGTCCTATGCCAATAATGCTACAAGTAATGTACATTAAAAAAGGTCATGTATGATAAAGTAGAATTTAATAGCAAATAAAAGAAGAAAGGCTATTTCCTATTTGGATAAAGATAGACCATTCTTCGTTAATGTCTATGGTTGAGAAAAAATTCAAAATCCATTAGCACATCAAAATTTCTAAATTGAGATTTCATCGAAGAATTGTATTACAATAAAAATACTTATAAATAAAATGTTTCTGTTTTTCATAGATTAAAAATGTATGCATATATCTCTTTTTAGTAACAACAGGATTATCAGCATGTAGTGAAGTGGTAAATATAACTCAAACAGTACAAGACGTATGTAAAGATTTTAAAGTTCAATTTCATTATTGAGTTATAATAAATATCTTTTATTTCAGCTTTATAATTTATATCAAAATAACAGTTCAAATTTAGTTTTAAGTGTATTTTATAATATTTCAATTATTAATTTCAAGTAAATTCTATCTTTGATTTAATTTTATTTCATATATCTCTTTGAAAATTAGTTGTACCACGGCATTTGATAAATACTTTGAACAAATTATAATATTTACACGACCAGTATCGATTCATATTCAAGTAGCTTTAGGTATAAAATAGAAGAAAAATTCTTCAATTGAAAAAGTATATTTTTATTGTATATTTTAAGTTTCAATTTATTTTGATTATATTACTGGAAATAGATTTTCCATAAATAGTTTAAATGGGTTTTTCATTAAACACGAAAGACCAATTTATCTTTCATCAATCAGTTTAAATTACAGTAAGTAATATATGAGAAAGAAGATTTTATTTTGATTTAAAATAATACATGACATAAAAATCAATACAACACTTTATATTACTTCCAAAAATATCTTGCATAACATGTCAGAGATCCAAATAGGTCTGCAATAAGAAGCTTTAGTCTAGCCAAGGCACGCTATGAACTTCTTTACCTTTCTTGTGTCTGTCATCTATTTTCATGTAGATTTCTTTTTTTTACATACGTATATTATCATCATAATTCAATGCCAATAGAAGATTGTCTTTATAAGAAGGCAAGAAAGACATGTATATCGAAATGACATTAGTATACGAAACATTTACTGACTTTTTTTTTCCACACAATATTTATCTGTTGAGAATAGACAAAAAAGAATTCTTTTTGAACAAGAACGTTTTGAATGAATGTAACGAAATAGTGGAAGAGAATATATCACAATAGTATTAATATGAATCGGAGGATAATAAGAATTAGTAAACGATCTATGTAAGATAAAAGCAATTATTTATTAGAAAGTACAATTAGTATTTTAGTGCAATAGTCTAATAAACTAAATTAATAAACAAACGAAGAATGAACAGTGTAATTACAATCAATTATTAGTTATAATTATGTCTACTCACAATCATAAGAAAAACATCATCTCTCATGTTCCAACCGTAAATATATTTTATATTTACGTTTCTTATTAGAAAAAAAAAGAACTTTTCTATTTAAAAGTTAGAAGAATATGACAGGTAAGTGTGATGGTCTGTTTAGATATTTGTCACATATATTATGAGCAGGTGTTTTGAAACAAGTTTATCTGAATATATTGGTTTCTAATTGTTCGCAGATTGTTTAATGCGAAACCAAAAATTCGAGTGACTAAATCTCAACTTTTCAATAAAGTTAATGCAAAGATATTAATTTGAAGATGAAGCCACCTCATATGTTTCCTTTCGATGTTAATAATCTTTTTTTGTGTTTGTAGATACTACATAGTAATCTTATGAAAATCCAAAAAGAACTAGAGTTCCTATTGAGACTTGACGGAACTAGTGAATTTTATTTTGAAACTATCTTCATTTTAGGATCTCGCATATACCAGCTTGTACAATGAGTTTCAGAGTTTGAGGACTTTGTACCTTCAAGCTATGAACTTTTCAAAAATGGACACTTCTCAAACAGTAATGTATAATCAAAAATATTTTGAAAAGTTTGTATCTTGAAGATATGAAGTCTACAAAGTCTGAAACTCTTCATAAAAGCTATTGTGTGTGAGACTTTCCAATGAAGGTTTTATCAAAACGAAACTCAATTATTACATCAAATCTCAATAGGATCTCAAATCATTTTAGATTTTTTATTAGAATACTATGCAGTATTTATAGACAAAAAATAATCAGTCAAACTAGAAGAAATCATCTGGAAAAGTTTCCTTGTTCGTGAATTTACAGATAAACTCGATTAAAATACAGAACCGTTACTGAAAGAATGTGAAGTAGAATGAATTAACACATTGTAAAGTATCTTGAGAAAAAACTTAACGAAGACAATTTCTTTTCTATATGAAAAATTCATCGTTTTTTTAATAGCAACATTGAGAGTATTTATCTATTATTAATTCGAAATATTGAAGCAATACGTTGTAAATTTCATTTAATAAATTTTTTTTTTATGTGTAGGCGCCAAATCTGACTCTTGTTCGAGTGGTGAGACAGCTCAAGATCCACTTTGTCTACAGAATGGTTCAACACCTGTATGCATTAGTCTCTTTACAAATCCATGGATTTTCAATTGCAGGTTCGAACAAAAAAAAAAATTCATTTCAAAAATTATTTTATTTATGTTTCTTTTCTCAAGCGGAATTCCGATGACATCTACCATATCTTCATTATCAACTATGAATAATAATGGATTAACATCGATTTTAAATTCATGGCAAATCGGTCTCATATGTAGTTTAAGTATATATTTCATAAAAAAATAAAATTTGACTTGATTTATTCTTTTAATATAGGTGGTTTCTTATTATTAATTTGTTTTCTTCTTGTTGGATATTTGTGTCGACGTCGTTCACGTTCAAAACATTTTTCTTTAACACCAGTAAATTTTTTTGATGATATGATATCACTACAAAAAAAGTACAAGAAATAAATTTCGATCATCATTAAAAATACTTATTGTTTTTTTAAATAGTGGAATACCTCTATGTCAAGCTTTTCAACGAGCTGCTACAATTGTACAACCTAAACAAAGAAGTACTATGATGATGGCTTGGATTCATGATGGTATCGATAAAAATACTAGAATTAATGCAAAAAATTATATTAATGTAACATCAGCTGGACCTTATAAGTAAGATATATCAATTATATGAGTTATTCATCAATTCTTAAGTTTTGTAGTCAAGGAACATTTATTGATCATGTCAAAATCCATGATTCAGTTTTTTCTTCAAATATTTCTAAAAACTCATTCAAACCTATTTATGCTCCAAATAATCATATTCATCCCTTAGCATCCAAACTACCTTCAATAGCAATTATCTCTCGACCTGCGTCTGGAACATCAAAGTATCAATTAAAATCCATTATTGGTAAATATGAAAATATTCAATAAATTAATAATATTTTTCATTTTTTAAAATGTTTTCAAAAATCAATTAGAAGACGATAAACTCGATCCATCGGATAATATTTCATTACATCAATCGAATTCAAATAATCCAAAAAAGCTGAGTACATCAATATCAGAACAATTTGGAAATGTGTTATCGCTTGATGAAAGCTTACATGACGAAGATGCCTGGATGTCGATTTTAGATGTAGCTAATGCTGAAGTAAATGTCATACATTCATAAACATAAATATAAACCTTTATTTTCTTTTAGCTTGATGTACTCAATCGATTGGAAAATGAACAAAATCGTATAAAAACAATAGTGTAACAAGAACTTTTTTAAAATTTTATTAAATTTTTTTTTTAATACGTCGATGCTTTTATGTTTTTATATATTGAAGTGTAGAGTTTAAATAATCGTAAGAGTTTCTTAAAATTGTTATCTTTTAAAATAAAATTTAATTTTTCACAAGTATCTATTATTATTATTTTAAGATTCTTTCTATCAGTAAATATTAGTTTACTGATTGAAACTAATAAAAAAACTGTAAGTCAGATAACAATTTCTTTTCGAACACATTCAAAAGATTAATCAAATGATTAAACTTTTACTGACTATATCTGATACTACATTCTTTTTTCCTATTTCTTTTTTTATCCTTGACATGATCAAGTACAACTATCATTCTGTCTCATTAAACAAATGTCAATGAACCATTAAGAATCTCTCCTCTAAGTGTAAATAATGTTAGAATATTCTTATTTGATTTCAATATGCGCGTTTTGACACGCGCGTTCGTGAGAAATTATTCAAAATGTATGGTTCGGTTAAACACACAAACTGAATTTGCTGTGACTATATATGAAACAGTGAGTGTATTTTTCTATTCTGTTTATAAGCAAAATAAATCGGTGATTAAATGTTTGTATACATATATTTTTTTGCAGAACGAACAATTTATCCCTTATCTATTCTACATGTGTATTTCGTCTGTTTGTCTTCATTCGTTTAAGAATTAACACGTAGTGGTGATGACGGATGATGCAAATAAATATAAGCGCTAGATGAATGTTGTTGTTGTTGTTGCTGCTGTTGGTTATCATGTGATGTGGTGATATCAGATTGAAATAAAGGTCGTTTAAAAAGAGGAATGTGTTCAGATTCTAACGATGATTGGTACGTATTATTTAAATCATGTGCTGGTGTTATATGAATTGATGTTGATTTTGTTGGTTGCATTATTGGTGATGATGATGGTGAAAGTGGAGAGACTAATTTATGTAAAGGTGAAGATGATATTGAAGAATTATTAAATGAAGAATGAGCATTTAATTTGAAAGACTTTGGTGATGTTGAAGAGATTTTATCAAACAAAGTAGTATTGTCTATTGTCGTTTTATTATCGAATTTTGTTGAAGATGCAGTTGATTTCGATGAATGTAAATCATCTTCATCATCACATATATGATTGAATAAATCAGATAATACAGGAAATATTCGTTGACAACGATGACATGTACGTAATCGATTAATATCATTGGATAGACCTCCTGTATGAACAAAAAAAGGCATAAACTTTTTTTCTGCATAATATTCATGAATTATTCTACATCAATAAATAACCGAAGTCATATATAAAAAAAAAAACATCAAAGCAATTAATGATACAATCAATCACCAAACGTTTGACTACTTGAAAGTGAAAACTATCGAACGTGATTAGTCAAGCAAATGCATGATTTGATCTACTACTCCCATCTACGGTTTTTTTTTCTACAAAAGTGCAGCACACAATCACAAAGCATACACGAATAAATTATAATAAATAATCATAAAAACATGCTGAATCAATTTAATGATTATAAAAATGAGCAAGTGACGCTAAGTAAAAATAATAATGTAAGTGTGAAAAGCAAAAAAATATAGAAAAGTAAAAGGTTTCATGCAAATTATTTGACAGTACTAGGTCGTTTTATTCTATTACCGAACGATGATTTTGGAGGAGATTGATTATCAGTATTAAGATTTGTTGACGTTGGATTATAATATCGTTTATTTTCTGTTGTTTGTCGTTTTATTCCAAATTCTTTACAAAGTTCTTCATGATTCAAATAATCACTTAAACGAATATTTTGATGACAATAACTACATTTGGTTGTATATACTCTTTCATGATCTGAACGATGACGGCATACAGCTTCATGTTTTAAAAGATTTTCTATTGATGTTAGTGGATAATAACAATATTGACATGTTTCTAATTTTTTTTTATTAGTCGTATTATCATCCATAGTACGTCGGTCAAAATGATGACTATTCATTGTTGTTGGTTTTGTTTGTTGAAATATAAAATGTTCATCAATATTTTCTTCATCACTATCTTTATGATTAAAACGTGATGATGATGATGTTGCTCGTTTAACATCATTCCGATATTTTGATGTTGGTGTTACATGATTAACAGGAATTTTTGTACGATTTGTTGATGTTGCTCGTTGTTGATGTGATGTACTACGTAAACGACTTGATGAATGATGCCAAAATAAATCATCATGTAAAAATTTATCAAATATAGATCGTGTTATCATTTCAAACATCATAAATGGATCAGTTTCAAATGACCAATTATGATTCCATTTTGATCGATTTTTTCTTCGAAAACGATTTTGACTAGAATGAAATGTTGATGGAATTGAATCAAAATGATCATAATCAGTTTCATCATCCGATGATGATGATGTACCAAAACTGGTGTCAAAAAATGAAAAATTTGGTGAATGAAATTTACGAGCAAAATAAGCATGTCGTTGATGAATATTGAAAAACGGATCATGAAAATGAAATCGAGATGAATTATTGTTTGCTGATGTAAAATATGATTGATTTGATGAATGAAATGATGAATCATGTTTATGTTGTTGTGATGATGAAGAATTTGTATGTGTTGTTTGTTGTTGTAAATCATATACTCGACGTTTATCTGCATCACTTAATGTTTCATAAGCTTTATTAATTTGTTTAAATAATTCTTCAGCTGTTTTAGAAGAATTTTTATCTGGATGATATTGAAGAGCTTTTTTTCGATAAGCTTTTTTTATTTCATCTTCAGTAGCTGTTGATTTAACGCCTAATATGGCATAGCAATCATTAGCTACCATTGTCTAGGTGCCTATTATTTCTTTACCAAGATAGATAATCACATTTATATATCTGAATAAAACAAAACAGATTATTCAATTTTCATCGATAAAATAACATTCATTGATCATACCACAATGTACTGAGAAGGTAAATACTTACTCGAAGTTTTTATATATTGAAGAAGGCGCTTTGATTAATACACAAGGTAGAAAAAAGATGAAACTGAATATGAATAAGAACGAAAGAAAAAAAAGGAATGTATGAAGAAACAAAATAGAAGACGTAGACATGCATCTAAATACATCATATAGTTATAAATCACTATATAGTACTCGTCTGATTCCCGCGATACGAAAATCAAGGCTTGTATATAGTCAACAAATAACAATATGATTATCAAGAGCATGTTTATGTGTAGGAGCTCAACGACACGATGATGATACTTTATACTATTCTAAGATAAAAAAAACAATACTAATGATAGTTTTAATAAGACAGACGTTATTAGAATAGAATGCATAACACAAAACGATAGAACAGCAAAGAATATTACTGCTATAAAACTACAACCTACTGTGATAGTTAATGGGTAAGAAAGAAAGCGACGAATAACCAAAAGTACATGGAGAAAGAAACGAGTTTATGTAATGAAATAGTCATGTATTACGACCAAATCAATCGAAGAGCGCGAGATAGAGTCGATAATCTAACTTTTTTTTCTTGTAATAGGCATGTTTCTGTTATCTGACAGTGAACTCCTACTTTTTCAGCAATCCAGTTTTCGAGGTCAATCAAGTTATGTCCGTCCTCGGCTAATACAAACGACGTCTTGGTGACATTCCGCTCTTTTTTTCTATCCATTATCGGTATAACTGCTGATGTAATATAGGCAAATAAATGAGAAGCAATATATCAAAAAAAAAAAAAAGGCAGAACACATATGTATATACATATTTTGTTCTCTTCTTCCTTTTTTTGCTCTGTCTTTCTCTCTCTCTGCAAATGATTATTACATAATCGTTATATAAATTTTTCGCATACATGTACATACAGATTGAAATGTGACACGAGCTCCAAAATTGAGCTTGACAATTTTCAAAACAATGAACGAGAAAAAAAGGAGAAGAATTTCATCTGAACTACTCGGAAATTGAATTATATCAATGATGAAGTTGAGCGATCAACTTACTCTTTGGCCAACAAATGAAAAAAGATTCTTTTACTTGCTATTAACCGCATTTCAGCCTAGCATTTGCGGTGTTATTCTCTTCTTCCGTTCTTTATATGTTGTTTCGGCTAAGGTCGAACAAGTGAATGAAAGAAAGAATGAATGAATGAATGAATGAGAAAAAAACAAGGCTTTCTTTCTCTCTCTACGAACATCACAATGTAATAATAAAAAAACGAGAAAAGAAAAAAGCCAGTTAGACAACTTGAACAGACGATGCAGCTGTTATTGTTGTTTTATTAGTATAAATCAATAGATTTCTCTGTTACTCTTTCTTTCTGATGTACACATAACCGCAAAATAGTGTACAAAGAAGAAAAATATAAGTTTCTTATAACAATTGATGGGATTATTTTTTTTTACTTTTCTACATCCATTAGTTTTTATAAAGAAAAAAGAAGAAGAAAAGGTCGACTTTTTTTCTTATTTGTAATTTGTTTAACCCTGTACCCATTATAGGCTGTACAGGGACATAGTGCTCATTTAAAGTAACTTTATATAGAAAGCAATTAAAGTAAATCACAAATATAAAACAATTACAAAAGACAATATGAGTCATGAATAACGGTTGTTAAGAACTAAATTATGTTGATATATGAGCACAACACACCATCTATTGATAAACGAATAGTTTGAAACATACATTTTAACTAATCTATTACTGCTTCTACTGAAAAGATGTACTTTTATTCTATTTATATTCGTTTTTCAAAAGATGTCTAAACAATTGATATGATTGATGTTCTGAGATAAACTATGTATATTAATTTTACTCGTTCATGAGCTGTTTTTTTTTTTCCATTTTGTTCGCGAAAAACGGAACCAACTTCGTCGTCTTATAACTTTATGTCGAGTAATATCATTAATAGATAATTCAATTCATTAAGAAATGAAAAATACATAGATATATTATTCACAGGTTCCGATAGTTATTATGTATAATCAAGTTAAGTGACAA